GCATTGACAATAAGATAAGGAAAATGGCTAGTGATGCACTCTTATTACAGTAGTATACATTGGTATCATGGAGTATTATAGTACAAAAACAATATCATATCATTTTCTAAGGTACTCCAAACATCTACCTTGCCTTATATCGCTTGAAGGTATGATTATTATAGTACATCGTACTCTCTATATATTCCATGATCTTTTGCTGCAATAGTAGGTCCTCGTATACTATATGCAAGATCGCGCCTGGGCCGTCTTGGCCTGCGTGCCGGCCTTCTCGCAAATCGTGGCGGCCTCGGGATGTGAGGGCGTAGGTCTTGCAGGGTTTGCGGTTGAGGGGATTGGGCCTTTAGGGTTTAGGGGGTTGAAGGCCTTTAGGGCTCAGGGCCTTGACCGTAAACCCATGTAAGCCCTAAGCTTCCCTACATCACACCTGAAGTGTCTGCATTGTCTTCTGCACGTTTGTTTCACCTAAGCTGCGATACCGGCGCGGACCGTCTTTTGGCTTTTTGGCTTCCCTTTTCGAAGCTTGATGTTGGGGCCGTACTTGCCCAATATCCCAAGATCCCACGAGAAACAAAAGTCTGACTTTCAGAATCGCACTCGTACAAAGCAACGAAACCCTAAACCAGAAACAGTCAGAACTGCACGCTACAAACCCTAAACGCCACAGATCCTAACCTTATCACTAGAACTGAGAACCATGCTTCATCTGCGGTCATCTCTTCTGCGGCCTGGCCCGGTGTTCCAAAGCGGGCAAGCTATGTTCTGGGCCTCAAGCTTACACCAATGTAGGGGCCATGAGAATTAGAACAGGGTTTATTGCAAACCATTCGGACCCACATCTTACTTCACAGGGCTGAAGCTTTGCAAGTCCCATGGTTCTCCCCGGGGCCCAGGCATGCCACCCTCGTTGGGCCATGGGGGGGCATAGCTATAAAACCCTACTTAAGGCTATTGAAACAGTACTATGACTGTCGATCCCATAACTCAAAATCACATCAGTCACACCACCCTGCTGTGATCTGAGGCCCTGATCCGAATTTGGTCTTAGCAACGCCCTAACCTGGGCTGCCCAGTATCCTCTTGAACAGAAGGGTGCCCTTCTCCCTGCTCTTCTGCGTCATAGTCCGGAAACCGCAATATAAAAAGTGTAGAAGGGTGCGTCCTACTAGGGGATCTAGGAAGCATAAGACTCTCAACCCTCGATCTCCGAAGCCCGCAGCACCAAACCGTCGCTCTCGCGCCTCATCGGAGAGAGGTGCAGCTGTCTCTGTCACCAACTCCACCTCGGCTTTACTAGCCGCCACCCATGGCTTCAGAAAGTAGGGGTTCCTTCTTGGGGCATTGTGGGGCTCCCTTGAAAAAGGACGCTCGGGGTCATGTTATGGTCCCTCATTTCCGGAGACCCTCTTTTCAAGAGCTCTAAAGATGCATCTGCAGGAGCATTGGTCGTAATAATTCCGATATTCATCACCAGCCTAGCTCTTGGCAGCATAAAGGGTTTGGGGTGTCGGCAGTAATCTACAAACCCTCCATATTGCGGAAAGCCAGAGACCTTGGTTCCCACAAACCCTCAACCCCTCAACCCCAGATGCATTTTGGCTTCGTCTCAGAAGAGCCACCTCCTTCTCTGCCGCGGCGATCTTTTCCGCTGCTTCCTGCAGCAGAGCGTTCTTCCTGGCCGCCGTGTCAGGAGCTTCTAGAGCTTCTAGGCTCCCCAGTAGCCTCGGAACATAAAAAAGGGTCCCTTTTTGGTACTGTATAGTTGTGTAGAGAACCTAAGATCTCAAAAAAGTGGAAACAAAGGTCGCACGAAAAGACTTAGGCTTTGTCTGCGGGGCTTACAGGCGAAATGTTCTTCTGGAGGCTCTTTTTTGGCAGCTCAGAGAGCTACTTGGGTTTGTTGGGTGGTAGGGTTTCATGGGCTTTTTGATGTTAAGCCCCTGGTCAGTCGGGTCTAGAAGAAGGTCGACAAGATTCTGTCTAAGAACTGACTTCTTGGAAATATCAAACATGCAGATTTCGAAAATCGCAAAACATCATGAACAACACAAGTCCCAGAAATCTGTACTAAACGTATAGTATAGGCAACTCCGCAAGGCGAAGGGCATTGCACCCCATCTTCAATGCCGAGTTCCCAAGTCCCAACCGCGTATCGCGCGGTCTACCCGATCGATGTGGGAATGACGCACTCCAAATCCTGAACGTTGATGTCCAAGCGAAACCCCCGGATCCAATTTGCAAACCTGGAAAGCTCAAGTATCCAAGGTCAGCAGCTCCACCAACAAAAATGTGGCCCCCGCCCATTGCAAGCCCGGTATATGCACCGTCGCCTTGTGAATGCCATGGACATGTAAGAGCCTTAAACCCTAAACCTTGGCTTGGACCCGGGCTTTCGGGTGTCGGTGTCCTTCCTGAACCTGGGCACTTAGACTCTAGTTCAGAGCTGGGAAGTTCAGGGATTTGGGCTCAATGTCTAGAGTTCGGGATTAACGGTACACGGTTGAGGGTCGAGGCTCTGTATGGTTAGAAATACAGAAAAGGCTACCGCGGGGGTCTGGTAACAACAAGCATAGCATGCACAAACCCAGGCCCCATGACAGCCCGCTCTCCTGAAGTACTGGTCCGGGTGTGAATCTGGTCATTGGTCAGTGGTGTTCGGGCTGTTGCGGGGTTCGTGCTCCAGGCTTTAGGTTCAGGGCTGCAGGCTCTTGACTGAACATAGCAAGGTCCTCCGACAGCTCGAGGACTAAGTTAACTTGACACAAATCATGTTTGTCGTTACAGCGGTGCGCGTTGTGATTCTGATTCGGGATCTGCAGTTCTGCGGCACCCTGTCTTCGGGGTCTTGGAGTCTTAGAGTTTGCGATTTCGGCTTCTGCACAGCGGGCCGAGGAACTGGGCTGCACTTTAAAGGTTTCGCACCCCTGCAGGGGTTGAGCTGACAATCTGGGTTCCTACATGATCGGCCCCAGGTGCCGACACCTGGAACTCGAAAGACCTGCAAGCCTCAAACATCTCTTAGGCCCATAGACCGCAAGCTCTTACTCAAAACCGACTACCCTACAGGCCCGATATCCCCCCGCCCTCGAGTCACAGGACTGTTTACTCTTGCAGAAGCTGGGCAGCGTTGTTCCTCAAGGCTGGGGTCCTGGCGAGGCCAACTTCGTGGCCGCGGCGTTCACGCGGCTGGTGAGGTTGGTGAGCTCCTGGCTTCGAGCACATCGTCAAGTACACGATGTGTGCAAATCACCTATTAAGCATAAACACCACGGTGCGCTTTGTGAAAGGGCACTGAATCAGGATGGATGGCTATAAGTGCCAGTCTGAGCATAAACGGTTTGCAGATGAAGCTAGAGCAGTTTCAGCACAGTTCTCGCCAATGCAAAACTGCCGAATGCAAGTTCAAGTGTTCGAGACCTAAGCAAGCTGCATTGCTCCTCGATCAAGGGCTTCGTCTTCTCCTGCTGCGGAAGCTCTCCAAGCATAGACACACATGGCAGTGGACATGCAAAAATCTGGAGTACAGCACAGTTCGCAGCAGCTGTCGATGTTAGACCGAAGAAAAGCATGCCTAAACCCAAAGCCGCGCTCAGATATCAAAGCCCCGAACAACGAGTAGTCTACCCCGCAGACACACAAGCTCTCCCCTGGCTTCCGGATGCAAAGCCTCACAAACCAACATGAAAGCAAAAAACAAGTAGGCAGTTCGGGCTTGGGGATGAAGGTTCACAGCTTGAGGCTCCAGGCCTTGTCGGAGAAACTCTTCATCTCCACATTCTTCGCGGCGATGAAATTTCGTGCCTGGCCCACTGCAGATGATCCGATCTAGTCAAACCTCAAGAATATCAACAACTACATACCCAATCACCGCAAGACTCGAACACCCAAATATACATTGTAGGCACCTCCAGGCTCCCACCTCGGACTTGCAGTAGAACACATGAATCAGACCAAAGGAACACTCGCAGCACTGCAGCAAAAGTCCAGCACGTCCCTCGTGGTTTGAAAGCTGTTAGTGATGGATCTGACTCACTGCCTCGCCAATGTGACCTATGATTTGTACTGCGCTGCAGCCCCATGCGAACCTACAACATTCATTGGTGGACTGTCCGGCTACCTCTTATGCCAAGGGCATCAAGACAGAAAAATAGAAAGCCGTGAAGCACATATTCACACATTCTTTGGCAGTTCCATGCATTGCCACGGATGAATCGTCATGTTGACACACTGTGATTGTGGTCTGAAAACGAGCCTCGGAGATTGCGCTCTGCAGATCCGTGGCCGCTTTCTGAGAGGCGTCGATGGTGGATGTCGCCTGCCATGTGCTGTGCGGCACGGCCGAGAGTTGCCCGGCGATCCAGGGCTGCGACAGCAGGGTTGGCAATTCAGGCCAGTGGCAAAATCCCAGCCTGTTGAAGTCCCGTTTTGGCGTTTAAAACCTCTATGTGAGAGGGAATTGAACTGTGGGAGGTGCTCTTCGATGGATCTACACGCTTAGTGAACAGTCTGATGGCTTTCCTGCCTAAGAATAAGGCAAAACTGTCTCTGTCGTTGCAGTGGGGCTCCACTGCTCTTCTGAATTACGACAAATGATTCTTGGCAGGCTGCCAGTACCACTTGAATTCAAAGCCGGAGAGCCCTACTTCAATGCTGCTCCTGTGTGGACTGAAGACCGTTCGCTTCAGACATACATGCAGGTAACGAAATCACCTTAACTGGTTTTCGGGTTTGCGGTTCGCCATCTGAGCTCCTGCCTCAGTCAGTGGCAAGACCTCGATGCCCTTCAGGAACGGCAGCTCTGCATCATTCACCTCCACGCGCGATCGGTTTTGCTGTGATCGTTCTGCAAACGATGGAGGAAAAACAGTGAACATTCCACATCAGACCACCGCTAAGCTCACATTTTTTTCTGCAAGCTGTTCCGGGTCGTACCGGTAAACGGTACGTGCCGTCAAAAACCTTACCGTAATGGAACGGAGTGAGGGTACTGCAGGCCTACTTTACCTCTGCCATCCTCTGCCTCGTTTCATTCTTGCCTTCACTGCTGCTTCGTCTGTGTGCCGTACAATGTCCGTCCACTTCTTGGCGATCTGTCTGCGAGACTGGTCAACCGTCTTGTCCAAGTGGAGATCCAGGTTGAGCTCTTGCTGCAGCTGCAGGTAGCGTGCGCTTCCAACTGCAGATGCTAAGGTTCTGAGTGTGCGTTCGTTGAGGTTTACCTTCTGCAACAGCATGTCACGCAATAGATGCTCAGCATCAGCTGGTCGCCCGGCCATGCCAACGGATTGGATCGCCATAGTGTAGTCAACGACTGTGAGCTCAAAGCCTGCTCGTTTCATGATCTCCAAGGTCTCCAGCACCTTGTCGCAATTCGCTGCTTTGAACCATGCATTCATGAGGCTTGCATATGCCTGGTGATTGGGTTGTAGACCGAGTGAGATCATCTCATCAAGCCACAGCGAAGCCCTTTGTGGCTGTTGCGCATTGGCTGCCGCAGCAACCAGGGCACTCAGCAATTGAAAATTTGGCTGCAAGCCCACAGATACGAAATCCTTGTAAAAGGATTCCGCTCTGTCAAGATCATGGCTTTCCTTTGCTGCAAATATCAGTATAGTACAGGAGGTTGTGTCCAGAGTCATACCGGTTTGCTTGCAACCTGCTTCGAACCACCATTGTGCGCGGCTCACGTTCCCAACTTTAGCTGCCGCCTGCATGACCTTGGCTTTCTGCACCGATTTCAGCCGTTCAAAACGTCAGCAGAAGAATCAATGTGCTAGCACTGGCTGCTTTCATGACACTTAGGCATGTATAGGCTATCTTAAACCAGGTGCTAATGCAGTTCGAGACACTGATTTGAAGAGGATCTCGTTGGGTTGCAGACCGGCCTCCTGCGCGGCATAGAACCACTTTTCTGCTGACGGAAGTTGCCTGGCGTTCGCAGCAGCTTTTATCATCGCCCCGTATGTTTCCACGGTTGGTTCGATCTGGTAGTAAGCCATAACATCGAAGTACTCCTCTGCAAACTGTAAGTTTCCATACTTGGAACCGGCAGTAATCAGGCTGGTAAATATTTCAACAGTTGGATCCAATTTCAGGTCGAACAGCCGATCGAACCAGTACTTTGCTCGGTCTATCTTGCCACATCTCGCGGCTGCAGCAATCAAGCCGTTGATAGCCTGCGGCCCCACTCTGAAGTCCTCCTCTGTCGAAGGCAAGCACAGAAGGTGAAAGATGTTCTCAGCTTCACGTAGCTTTCCCTCGCGTGAAGCCCTCTGGAACTGATCCAGCAATACCGAAGTGGGTGCCCCATGCTTGTGGCGGACTTGGGCCCGCCGGGTTTCCGCTTGCTTCTTGCCTTCGAATCGCACCTTCTTCTCCCGCACTCGCCGCACCACTGGGGAGCTCTGCCTGGTGTGACTGCTCGAAATGCCTGTTGTCATGGGGGACACAAAAGTCCAATCTGCACCTGGCACATGCCATACAGCAAGAGGCCACAGGAAGAAAACGAGCACGCATGTTGCGACCCTCCCTGCAGCCATTGTGCCGGAGTGCAGACCGATCTTGAGAGCGTTTGATAGGAGGCTGCGGCGAAAACCATGCACGCGTGAATGGCTATATCATTTCACGTCTTGCGGAACGACCGGTGACCAACTATATACGCTTCGCTGCCGCTAGCAGTCACTGCCCACGAGTGGGGAACCGGGACATCACCCCAAAAAGTCCTCCCGGAACTTAGCCTTCTCCACGAAGCTGTCCACAGCATCCGTCTTCTTCTTGCCTTCTCGCACATATGCCTGTCACGAGCAACATAAGCCAGCAAATCCCCTGGACCAATGGCGAACAAACTTGGGGATCAGGTATTGGTGTTTTGGGGGATTCCGTAGGCTTGTCCACAAGACGGACAACCCCGAATCTCCTCGCAAGACCGCCGAAATATTCCCAGGCCCGAACAGCAACCCGATTTTTGAACAGCATGACTTACCTTCAGAAAACCAGGGGCGACATCCCATACGACACTGTAGAATACCACCAACCAAGACAGAGAAGACCTCCGACAGAAAGCAAGGAAGCTTGTAAAAGACTCCCTTTGAACCCATGCACCATCTTTTCAACCGCACATTCCCATACCCTTCTACATGAACACAGTGCACCTCTATCAGACCTCCCTGAGCTAAAGGAAAAATGATCCGAGGCCGATACCTCCCCCAGGGAGCGCTCTCGGAGTCCCTTCTTGCCGGCCTCGGAGGGGAGTTTCCGGAATGGCTTTGGGGTTTCAAAAGATTGAGAGTTTTGAGGATTCGAAGTTTCTAGTCTCAGTTGGGCCTTTGGGGGGTTAAGGGGTGTAGGGGTTTCAAAGCTTAGCATAGAGCTTTAGGGTTGAGTTTTGCGGTTTCAGGGCTTATAGCATTGGGGTTTAGGGTCTTAGGGTGCACGTCCGAAGGGCTTGCGGGAGCTTTATTCTACCTTGGGTTCTTGGAAACTTAACCCATGAATTTGCGACAACTTGTGGTGCTTGGTCGTCACAGTGGCTCATGTGCCTTCGTTTTCGATGAGAGGACTGGCAACAAAGAAGAGGCTCTCTTAGCCCTGGACGAGAACTTTGTCCAGTCTCTCCTGGACCTTCTTGCTCCTCTCTGCAACCTTGGAGAAGGCGGCCTGCGAGAAAGGTCGTCTCTTATGCTTTTTGAAGTCCTTCGGTGTGTTTGCAGGATGACTTGCAATGATCCGAGGAGCAGGGTTTTCAAGCTTCTCGAAAATCTGCCAGGCTGGTGCTGAAGGTGCTAGCATGCACAAACTCCACTGACGTGGATGTTTGTTTATGTCTGCCTAGCCGGCGCCCTCTCGACGTCCCATGAGTCAGGGGAGGAAAGGGCTGCGAAATGCGACGAATGATATTGTGGTAGACAGGGACTAGCCGTCATCCGCGTCATCTCCGCGATCATCATCATCATCAGCATCAACATCATCGTCATTGTCGTTCTCAACAATGTCATCACCATAGGCCTCATGATCATCATCATCGTCTTCTTCATCATCCCCATTGATATTATCAGTTTCATCATTTTCATCTTCATCATCATCACCACCACCATCATCATCGTCATCGCCGACGTCACCATGCACGCCATCATCATCAACAACAACATCATCATCACCATCATCATGATCGTTGCATTTGTCCTCTCGACAGGCGTTGCCGCCACCATCAAAATCGAAATGCAATCATTGAACACCGGGTGGCCTCAAGACATGGCCAACGAAGCAAGGATGCCGGACATGCGTGGAACACTGATTGAACCATGTCGGGTGCAAGCCTTGATAGACGGCACCGGCGTCGACATGTTCCCTTGGATGGACCTGCCCGCTGCGCTTGTGTGTCCGGAAAGAAGTACTTCGGACTTGAAGCGCTCAAGCTTAGGCTTCAAGTCTCGAACGAGTTCAGCTGGCTTTGAAAGTGTCCTTAGGCTGTCGATTGGGAGGCTGGCCGATGTTTTGTTCTCACCACAGTAACATACCAAGCTCACGAAGGTGGACAGTGGAGGCTTGTGACAAGACACGGCGGTTCGGGATGGACCAGTCCGAGACTGCAGATAGGCTGAGGGGATATTTTCACAACCAACCAGCCGCAGAACCGCCGCAAGCCTCTTTTCACATCGACCGCGTCATGCACACCGAAAACCGAAGGAAGCAGACCTCTACCACTCTGACCTTCATTCTCAACTACAGAACCTCCAACCTCCTCTGTCCTAAGAGGTCCAACTCTGCAAGGCGTCATCTCTCGAGCCCTTCGGCACAGCGCCGCACCCTGTCGTGGCTTTGATGGTGTTCTGTGCGAGGACAATGGCATCGCCCAGCTCGGCGCACTCCTCCGCTTGAGAGCTCTTTTGGGCTGGGCTTGGTGCTTGGGGTTGTAGGGCTTCTGTGCACATTAGGGTTCACGTAGGCTTTTAGGGAACGCATTCGGATGAAAGTTTTCGGACGCAGGGACAAGGCCAAACTGAGCGCCAAATAGAGTTTAGCAGACACGACCCTTTTGCACCTTTCTAACCCCCTCAAGAAGGAAACGCTCAACAAAAACCCAACGCCCTACACCCAAGATCCCGAAACTCCAGACTCCGAGCCCTCGAACCCTTAAGCCCAAACCCAAACCCCTCAAAAGAGTTGAACCCTACACTCAAGATTCCGAAACCCCAGAGCTAGAACTCCCAAAGAGGTCTAGGTCTGTCTAAGCCCTAAACCCCTCAAAAAGGAACTTCCCCCACGGTCTCCTCGTCCGTGGGCTTCTCCACGGCCTCCACCGGCTCGGCTAGCTTCTCGGCTTTGGCGACCTGAAGAGCTCTGCTTGTTTACCATAGGGCTTTTTTACGCTTTAAGGCTTTGAATGAAGGGTTTAAGGGCGTTTAAGGTTCAGGGTTTCAGGGCTTTTGAGGTTTAGGGTGTTTTGGGTGTCGGGTTCAGGTTTGAGGGATTTCGGGAACTGGCCTACGGCTTTAAGGCCTTAGGGCTTCGCGGCTTCGGGAGCAGAGTTTGGGGTTGCGTGAGGGGCGTACACATGTCAGACCTCCTGCTTTGCGACATCAGCGGTCTCATGGTTTCTGAAAGGGTGTTAGGGCTTTGAAGGAGTCTGGAGGTTACCTTGCAAGTATTATCTAACCATGACACAAACACAAGACCCAACACCTAAACCTGACACCCTGCCGCCAAAGCCTAAGCCCTTCCAAAAGGGTAAGGAAGCAAAGGCAACATACAAGTCCGGTTAAAATCCAAATCCCATGGCAAACTGCTAAACGCTGGAGCCTCAGGCCCATAACCCCGCAAGACCTTAACAACTACACCCTAAACTCTTAAGACCGCGAAGCCTTAAAGCTGAGAGCGCTCTGCCACATGGCCTGAGCCCCATTGCACCCTCAACCTTACTCCCTACCAGCTTCCAGCCGGCTTCTGAACAACTACAGTAGACTGCAAAACCCTTCACCCCCAAACAGAAGCACTGAACCCTTGTAGATAAATCCAAAACTTTAAAACCACTATCCTTAAGACCCCAATATACCCACTACCCCTTGAATACGTCAGTTGATAAACACGTAACTGTACCCCAAACGCCAGAACCCTTACCTAAGCCCTAAATCCCTAAGGCCCTAAAGACTTTAAACCTAAGAATTCATCTGAAGGGGACTATGATCCCCATTGGCCCGAAACACAACAACAAATGGTCTCACTAACCCGTTTTTCCTGTCTCATTAACGCTGTAAGTAAGATGATTCCCAAGACTTCGCCCTAATCCCCCTAGAAAAATAAACTCTACCCTTCACCCTAAAAACCGAAGACCGTAGCAACCTAGAGCCCTCAACCCCCTGAGCCCCAAAACTAACATGTCATTGCAGGGAGAAGAGGCCAAATCCGCGCCTCGGCCTCCGCCTTGTCGACGTTTCCCATCTCTTCCGCCAGGGCCTGACCGGGGGGCAGGGCCTAAAGAATTGGAGCGGGATCGGAATAAGGTTCTACATCGTAAACGAACGCCTTCATGGTTGGAATCGGGTTTGAGTGGGATCTGAAGACGTCTAGGCGCCTTAATGTTATGGTGATTGGAGTAGGGTTTGTGTTTGCTTCATAGGGCTCTTTGCAGGAAACAATCTTATACAAAACTCATTTTGCGGACTGTACGGGGATAAGCCTTCCAATTATCTAGAGTCATCTATTACAAGCATCGATGTCATGGGTCCCGTCAGGGTTTTATGGAGGTTGCCGGAGTTCTACGAAGGTTTGTATGGCTTTCTGATGTTTTCGTGGGCTTTGCAGTGTTGAGGTCTAGGGAGGCCTGAAGGTTCGTAGGTGCCGTGATGTAACATTTCGGAGTTAGGATGTAGATTTCAGGGGCTCAGGTTCAGGGTTTCCGGTACATATTACAGATCGGCCTGAACACTAAACTTCAGAAGCCCCAGCTCTGGGACCTTAAACCAGACATGTTTTCACAACAGACCCTGAACTTTACTCTGAATCCCACACACCAAGCCCCTGAACCTGAACCCTAAGCCCCAAACACCCAAACCCGAAGCCTCTCAACCCTGAGCCCTAAAGCCCAAAACGCTGGACCCCCAGGCCTGCACCCAAACAGTGCACCCTGAACCCCCGGGGCTATGCGACATCAGAGGAGCCTCCTTGCCCTTCAGCAGCTTGTCACCGAAGGTCGAGGCCTGTACTCGGTTGCTGCGTTAAGGAACTTGAACCAAGTTACCATGATGGGGATTGATAGTAAATCACAGGGTTTCCTTATTGTAGTAGCGTAATGTAACGTTCCGTAGCAGCAACCCAGCTCAGGTTCCTACCACTTGGGCTTTAGGTTCCTATGAGGTTCCTGAAAGGGTGCCTTTTAGAGGTTCCTCTACGGGCTTCTATAAGGGCACAGAGTTTGGCAGGATTCTTAGACTGCTTTTCTATAAGGCTTGTCAGGGTGCTTGAAGGCTTCGGAGTTTAGGGCTTGGGACTTTGGGTTCCGGCACAACGTTGCTAAACAAATTCTCACGCCCTTCCTGCGTGC